TCATGCTTGGTAGGGTGGAGGGTCCTCGAAAGAGGGGGAGGCCTTCAACGAGATGGATTGACATGGTGGCTGCGATGATGGGCTCAAGTATAGCAGGGATTGTGGGGCTGGCGCGGGATCGGGCAGTGTTTTGTTCTGGTGTGCATGGGGTCGCTAAGAGTCGGAAAAGACTTGATGGCACTTAACAACAACAACAACATCACTATGGAAGTAGATTGCCCAACCATGTAGGTTATTCCTTTTGATGATATCCCACATGAACTTTAGGCTTTCTTCATTTTGTTTTGATCTTTTTTTCTAATTGAAACCTTTCCAAAGATGTATTGAGGTACTTGTCTTTGATCTCACTAATTCTGTGTTCCATTGATTCAATTCTACTCCTTTGCCCGTTCCATGTGTTACCTATTTCTGAAAATTTACTATTAATCTTCTGGATTTCCATCTGTAGATTGTGTATCATTTCTAATTTTTCATTTATTTTGTCATTCTTGTATTTTGTTCCAAAATTGTTCTAGGGTTTAATATGTGTTCTCTTCAGTTTTGCCAGTGTTTTGCTTGTTCTATCTCTCAATCCATTGAAAGTACCTATATATAATTCTTTTGAATTCATTATCAGGGAGTTCCAATGGTGCTTCTTCCTCGGGGATGTGTTTTGGGTCTGTATCCTGATCCCTTGTTTCTCCTGCTTTATCTTGCTTTCTTGTGTGTGGACTGTGATGCTCTGTTGTCTCCAAGGCATTGTGATGTTTTTGTGTTTATATTTAATTGGTGATTGCATGTTGGAGTGACTTCTCCATGATTTTGTTTTCTTGCGATGTTGTCTACATAAACAAGGTACTGTATTCCTCTATTCACTAGTTGACAGCACTTCACCACCTCTCTCCTTTCCTGTTGCCAGCCTCTGGTATGCCCTGCTGTCCTTGGGAAACAGCCTATTCTTAGGTCTCTGGAATCCAATGAGAATGCTGTCACTTTAAAATCCAATATGGCCATTGCTTGTAAACATTCAGAATGACTGTGCCCTCTGGACAGCTGAAAGTCTACAGCTCAGGTTTTCTCCCTCCGTGCTGTTTCCCTTCCTAGTCATAAGCCACCAACACAGTTGTCCCTGCAGCCCTTAGCGAGTAGGGATGATCTTAAGGTCAATTTTCATGTCCCAACACCACTTGGAAATATTCAGGCTGTTGGTCCTGTTAGAGTAGCTGACAGTCCACAGCTCCGGCCATCTCCATATTCACTGTTTTCATTCAGGTTTTTCCACTAGTTGTTGCCTAATCCACTTCTGTATACTTCCTTTCAAAGCTCAGGGCTCCAGGATTATCTTCTGTATCTCTGTCAATTGGTTTCTCTTTTCTTTGTTGAAGAAGGTCTGTGTAACTTGTCTGCCTATTCTGCCATCTTACTGGAAGTCCTCTTGACTGCAGTGTTTTTTTTTTTTTTTTTCTTGTTGTTGTTGTTTTTTAAAATTGGTGTGAAAGTAGTCCCTGGAGACCATTATCAGAGTAAGTTGCCTTTTCTTCTCCATGACAGTTGTTAGGCACTGTCAATTCTAATTCATAGCAATCTTGTATGATGAAATAGAACTGTCCCCTGTATCACTTTTTTTAATGTCTCAATCTAGGCCTTTTTTTTACAGTATTATTTCATTGTACTTATTTTATTATAAAGTTATCTAGTTTAATGTATGGGGATTATTATAAAATAGTTGTATTAAATAAGTTTTGCATTTTGAATTAACTTAGACAAAGCCTAGTATGAAAATATAGTTTTAAAAAGAAACTATCACTATAATCTTTATATAGTTCACAAGCACTGAACTTGCTTATACCTCTCACTTAGTGAAGAAAAGATGATCTTTGAAAGTCCTTACCCATCTCGATCTTTTCACATTTTTAATTATATTAAACAAGAAGGCTATTCTAGAAGGTGGTTTGAGAAATGTTATTCAGATGTTTAACAAGCATTTTGCCTGTATTGATTCTATGACTTTTGAAAAATATTTATATGAATTTCTTTTGAAAAGTCTCATTCTTATAAAATTTTTAAAGTCTTCCCCAAGAAAGCAAAGCATTAATGCATTGTAAAATATCCTGATGTACTTTAAAACATTTTTAATTATAGGAAGAAATCTATAGCCAAACAGCCAAAACTAGAAGATTTTCTTGAAGTCCAGGTAATCCTCTATATGTACATCTTTTTTTGATCAATAAGTGCTATGATCATTTTATGTGTTGACAATATTATCATGTATGTGAGTATATATATTCTCTTTCAGTCTGGGTACTAAAATTCTCCCTAAGATCTTTCTTTCTTGTTGGTCCACTTTTCCCAGCTAGTTTTAGAAAATGAAATGGTAAATCCAGACATGTTTACTATCAAGGTTATGAAAATTACCCTGGTTTATTCATTTAGAGGGAATATTATGGAGGAAAGAAAATCATATTGGGAGTCAGAACAGGCACTTACTTTTTATGTTGTTTTGGACAAGTCTTTTTGATTTATTTGAACTTCATATCCATCTTTAAAATGGCTACCTTTTCTACTTCAAAAAAGTACAAGAGAAGTAAGACGCAAAAGTGGAAAAGTCTTCCTAAATTGTAAAATTATATAGCCCACTCTTTCTAATATGTTTTCAATGAAAGGAATACAGGTAATCCAAGTTATTTTATTTTGGTTTTGTATTATTATTATTATTTTTTTTTTTGCTACAGATTAACTTCTTAATAATTCTCATAACATTCACCACCTATTTCAGTGGGTGGCTGGAGTTAAGCACCCTACAAGTGTGCATCAGGATCATTCAAGGATTAGCCTATAGGGTCACTATAAATACAAATTGACTAAATGGCCATGGGTTTAATTTGGAGGAAATGAGGGTGCTATTTGAGATATTGAATATAAAATATACTACTTGATGATATTAGTTTTCTCTTGCAGTGTAACAGATTACCACACACATTTAGCAGTTTTAAACAGCATACATTTATTATCTTACCCTTTCAGTGGGTTAAGAGTTCAGGAGTGGATTAGCTGGGTTCTGTGCTCAGGGTGCTCAGTCTGCAATAAGGCTAGGCTGTGTTTTTGTAACTTTTGGTCCTTTTGGTTGTGGTAGAATTACTTTCCTTGTGGTTGAGGATTGAGGTCCTCAGCTTCTAGAGACCATCTGTATTTCCCAGATACGTGGTCTTCTCCAAGGCATTTCATATCCTAGCAGCTTGCATTTTCTTTAAGACCAGACAAGAGAAAGTCTCTTGTCTGGTAAGACAGAGTCATATAATGTAACATGACCATGAGGGTAACATTCTATCATGTTTGCCATGGAATGTAATATAATAAAAAGAAGTGACATCACATCATGTTGCCATATTCTATTACTATAAACATGTCATAGATCTCACCCACACTCAAAGGGAGTAGATTACATAGGAACTGGAGATCATGGGGGCTATCTTAGAATTCTGGCTACCACATGTACTGGCTAGTTATCTTAGACAGAAGAGCAATTTATGTATTTACAAAATTTATTATGATCCCATTATACTATTTAAATTTGAAGTCTCTAATATCATTTAAAGTTATTTTTTTACTGACTTTAAAGTCAAAGTTTTCTGTGTTGATAGAATTTTTCTTCAGAGAGTATCTATGGATTTGATGAAAATTTAAAATTAATTCTTCCTTACTCCCACCAACATTCTGTTATGAACCACTGCAGATCTAGTCCATTTTGCAGAGATCAATAGATTTGCTTAAGGTTAGAGAATAAATTAATAGTAAAATCTGTACTTCAAACATAGCTATTTTTGAGTCCTGCTCAGTGTTTGCAATAATAATGAAGTTGATTCAATTTTGCTTCTTCATGCAGGCATGATTAATAGAATCAGTTATATGTCTAAGCAATATCCTATATACCATATTTTTGTTATCCTAGAGACACTTGACTGCTAACCAGAAGGCTGACAGTTCAAACCCACCAGTCACTCCTTGGAAGGAAGGTTGGGCAATCTACTTCCATAGTAATACCGCCTCAGAAACCCAAGGAGGGGTGGCTATGAGTTGGGGCTAACTCGATGGCACATAACAACAACAACAACAGATACAATTTATGTTATTCAATTTTTAGACTAGGAAACTCAGAGATGTTGTTAAGTAACTTGATTAGGTTTATGGTTATTAGGTGGACTCTGATTGGACTGGATAACCCAAAGATCCTTTCTTTTTGTAGGTAGGGGGAAAGATGACTTAGAGTATAAATTCAAATGTGATATCTCCATTTGCTACATCTTTTCAAAGGTCATCACCTTTCCAAACTTACAGAGCCTTCACTTAGTTTCTGTATGCATAGTGCCAGTGTATAATAATCTCCTTTCCTGATTCTCAGATGTGAAGAAATCCCTAATTCAAATATAAACAATAAATATACTTATATTCCATATGTACTTTGAATAAAGTTTTTGCATATAACATAATGTCATGGATGAGGGAGAGAATTGATAAAGAAATATGGATTCTTTTTCTCTAAAGTTAGGCCTTTAATGAAATTTGAAGCTGAATTATGTTAGTATGTACTGCAGACATACTCTCACAGACTAGTTCCAACATAGTAAATGCACATATAGAAGGGGAATTATATTGCTATTGTTAGGCACCCTTAAGTCAGTTCCAACTCATAGTGACCCCATGCACAACAGAATGAAATACTTCCTGGTCCTGAGTCATCCTAACAGTTATTGCTATGTTTGAGCCCATTGTGCAGCCACTGTGTCAATCCATCTCATTGAGGATCTTCATCTTTTTCACTGACCCTCTGTTTTACTAAGCATGATGTCCTTCCGAGGCAGTATCACTATGGAAGTAGATTGCCCAAACTTCCTTCTGAGGAGTGGCTGGTGGGTTTGAACCGTCAGCCTTCTGGTTAGCAGTCAAGTACCTTAGGCACTATGCTACCAGAGCTCCCATATATATATGTGTTTGTGTGTGTATAATTATTTTTTTAATTTAAAGATAACTTTTGTAGCAGATTTGCTCAATGTAGTACATCATTTGATTTATTGACTGTTGCTACCATGGGAACTGATTATGGATCCAAGTAAAACGAAGTCCTTGACAACTTTCATCTTTTCTCCGTTATTCATGATGTTGCTTATTGGCCCACTGGTGAGGATTTTTGTTTTCTTTATGTTGAGGTGTAATTTGTACTGAAGGCTGTAGTCTTTGATCTTCATCAGTAAGTGTCTCAAGTCCTCTTTACTTTTAGCAAGGAAGGTTGTGTCATCTGTGTGATGTAGGTTGTTCATGAGTCTTCCTCCAATCCTGATGCTTCATTCTTCTTCATATAGTCCAGCTTCTCAGATATTTCCTCAGCATATAGATTGAAAAAGTATGGTGAAAGTGTTTAGCCTGGATGCACACCTTTCCTTATTATAAACTATGCTGTATCTCCTAGTTCTTTTGGAATGACTGTCACTTGTTCTGTGTACAAGTTCTGCACAAGCACAATTAAATGTTCTGGAATTTGAATTCTTCACAAGCTATCCATAATTTGTTATGATACACACAGTTGATGTCTTTGCAGAGGCAATAAAGCACATGTAAACATCATTCTGGTATTCTTTGTATTCAGCCAATAACCATCTGACATTAGCAATGATATCCCTCATTCTGTGTCCTCTTCTGAATCCAGCTTGGATTTCTGGTAGTTCTCTGTTAATATACTGCAGCTTTTTTTTTTTTTTTTTTTTAATTTTAATTATCTTCAGCAAAATTTTACTTGCATATGATATTAAGGATACTGTTCTACAATTTTCATATTTTGTTGGATCACTTTTCTTTGAAATGGGCACAAATGTAGATGTCTTCCAGACAATTGGCCAGGTAGCTGTTTTCCAAATTTGTTGACGTATACAAGTAAGTGCTTCCAGCATTGCATCCATTGGTTGAAACATTTCAGTTCATGTTCTGCCATCTCCTAGAGCCTTTGATTGCACTGGCTTCAGTGCAGCTGGGACTTCCTCCTTCAGTGCCATTAGTTGTTGATCATATGTTACCTCCTGAAATGGTTGAATGTGGACCAGTTCATTTTGATACAGTGACTGTGTGTATTAGTTCCATCTTCCTTTAGTGCTTCCTGTGTCATTCAATATCTTGCCCATAGAATCCTTCAATATTGCAACCTGAGGCTTGAGTTTTTTCTATTTCCTTCAGCTTGAGAAACGTCAAGTGTATTCTTCCCTTTTGGTCTTTGCACATTTCATTATAATACTTTACTTTGTCTTCTTGAGCCACTGTTTGTAATCTTCCATTCAGCTTTTTTACTTCATTTCTTCCTTTCATTTTAGCTACTCTACATTCCAGAGCAAGTTTCAAATGTTTATCATGGTGCTGATATTGGTCCAATTGTGAGGATTTTTGTCTTCCTTATCTTGTGGTATAATTCATACTGAAGGTTACAACCTTTGGTTTTATGTTGCTGAAACTCTGGATTCTGTTATATTTCTCTGATGACTGGTACTTTTTTTTTTTTTTTTTTGCTTTAATATATCATTAACATGATTGGATACAAAATGGAGATTCTGCATTTAGGCAGTAGTTCATATTGTATTTCAGTTTTTTTTAGTTTTTCTAGGCTGCTTAGGGTCTTCCCTATGTATGTGTGTTTCAGGGTCAGGTAAGGATTTGGGAAGCAATTATACAAAGATGTTGAGACTCCTTTTTGTATGCTCATGTCTGCCTATCTAAATTGCACATGCAAACATGCTGTGCCTGAAACTTCCAAGCAACTATGTGACTGTTAGGAATGAGGCACATAGGCCTACTGGCACCAACCATTCCATGGATGTTATGATCAAGGTGGACATATGAGACACTTACACAGTGTTGACAAAGTGAAAGCCATTATTATTTACAGAAAACAAATGATAAACAATAAGAACATATTCCCAAAGGGGAAATGCTTACCCTTTCCTGATTTACCTATGCCCATTCTTATGTTGCTAGGTAGACACACTGTGGTTTAGGACAGATGCTATGTTTATGTCTAAACATATGCCTCTAGCTGTCAGCACCCTGTCCAAGGCTTCTGCTCTTCTGCTGGGCCTGGTTGGGCTTTGCCTTGCTGGGGGGAAGACCTCTGCACTGAATCTCCCAAGCTCTGCTTCTGGGCCCTCCAAAGCCTGTGCTGCTGGCTCCTACCACATCTGTGGGACTCTCTTGCTCCCATGCTCCTTGGCTCCCACTGCCCAGGACAGAAGGTGTGCAACCCCTCACCAAGTCACAGTCAGGCCTCTCTTCTCCTGCTTAAGCATTATAGCTCTTTTAGCTCTAATGGTAAGCCTCCTGCCCAGATGTGATTTGCTCTGCTCTGTTGTAGAAAGATCCCTATATAGGATCCTATGAGGCAACCCCTGCACAGGGCATAATCAGGCCTTTGCCATGCACAAGCAAATGTTCGTTTTTTGTTTGTTTGTTTGTTTTGTTTTGTTTTTTAACTTTACCCATAAACGTCTTGCACAAAGTGCTCAGCAATTACTCCATGGGCCAGCAAACCTACTGAAGCTCCCTCTCTCTTTGGGCTGGCAAGCCCACCACTGTTGTCTCTTGTTCTCTCCAGTGTTCACTCTTTCTTCTGGGTCTAGGAACTTCTCAGACCAGGGATCCAAGTCCTTTCATCCAAAGGATGTGTTCCATTCTAGACTCTTCTTAGTGATAGTGAGGCCCTGCTGAACTTTCTATGGGATTGACCCTTATATAAGCAAAATAAAAAAAAACCACACCCATTGCCATCGAGTTGATTCTGACTCAGAAAGACACTATAGAACAGAGAAAAACTGCCTCATAAGGTTTCCAAGGCTATAACTGTTACAGAAGTAGATTGTCACATCTTTCTCCATGGAGTGGCTGGTTGGTTCAAATTACCAACCTCTTGGTTAGCAGCTGAGCACTTTAACCACTGAGCCACCAGGGCTCCTTTATATAAGCAAACTCCTTGTCAACTTCCTGGCATGGCCCTCCCACCAAGACTACAAACTCAATTTACATAGTAATCTGACCAATCCCCTCAGTGTAATCACTCATTTTGCATAGTCCCAGGCAAATATTTTAGGGGAGAGACAAGACCCTGGGTAGAAAGGCCATATAAATAATATTCACTGCACCACACTTCTCTGTGTTTTTCTTCTCTATGTGATTTCTTTTAACCTTTCTAGTGGCTGTGATTGCCCTGAACTTTGTGCTCTAGTACATAGGTTGTAAAAACTCAGGTTTTCTAACAGCAATTAGTCACCCTGCATGGTGCAGACTAGGGCTTGCCCTCTGACTAGAAGCCATGGAAATGGAAATCTTACTTGATGCCTTTCCGTTCATCCAAGATCACCTTCTCTCAAGAATCTATCATTCTTGTTTGCTCTCCGGTGTTGAAGTTTGCATTTTCTCCAGAATTTATTGTCATATGTGGCAGGATTTATCACAGTAGGAACTTGCTCTGCCATACAAAAAGTGGAAATGAGGACCTGTGATATGGTTTCTCGAACTGTTGTACATTTGATGGAGAACTTGAGTATTTTCATGTGTGATAAAATCTGCTCATTCTCTCAAAATTAGAACTATGTTTATTTTGTGTTATAACTATAAATGCTTTTTGTCATGAAAATTGAAATGTTTATATTATTTCATGCTAGAGAAAAGGATAGGAGCTCTGGTAGCATAGTGGCTAAAGCACTTGACTGCTAACCAGAAGGCTGGCGGTTCAAACCCACCAGCCACTCCTCAGAAGGAAGGTTGGGCAATCCTACTTCTGTAGTGATACTGCCTCGGAAACCCAAGGAGGGGTCGCTATGAGTCGGGGCCGACTCGACGGCACACAACAACAACAACAACAGAGAAAAGGATAACTGAAACCTTTGTTATAGTTGTAATATGCTAGGTTTAAAATCAATGTACCTGTGGAAAGGCAATAGGAAGCTATAGCTACAGACATTATCCACTATTATGCTTAAGAGGGTGCAATTAAGTGTGCATTCTAAAATCATAACCTTACTATCATTGAATTTTGGGAAGATAAATATATGAAAAAAATACCAAAGCTAATACTTTTCTTTTTCTTAATTTACCCTAGAATGCAGCAAATGCTCTAGCAATTGAGAACAAAGTACTTCAAGAACAACTGAAACAAGCTTTGAAGGTAAAGGGTATCGTATTCCTTTAAAATTGTTAACTAATGAAGGAAATACATATAAAAAACATTTGGAATTAATACTTTTTATTTTGTAAAATATTATAATATTAAGTCTATATAGTCTACATTGTGTTAGGCTTAAAATATATTGATTTTATGGATTAGGAATATAGGAACCCTGGTGGCATAGTGCCTAAGGTATTTGACTGCTAATCACAAGGCTGGCAGTTCAAACCCACCAGCCACTCCTCAGAAGGAAGAGTAGGCAATCTACTTCTGTAGAGATACCGCCTCAGAAAATCAAGGAGGGGTCGCTATGAGTTGGAAACGACCTGACAGCAGTGAGTTTGGTTTTTTTTTTTTTTTGGGGGGGAGGTAATATTCATTTCATCAGCAGCTCAGCAAGCTGGGAAGAGAAGTAAATTTACTTAATCCAGTAAAGGAAAGCTGTTTCAAAATCCATAATTTACATACTTAAAAATCCATAATATTACATACTTAAAAGTAAAATTTTGAGGCTATTCTAATTAAACTCTGTTAAATTAGGATGTTGACTTTTACCAATCTTTTTCAAATTCCAGCTAAACAGTAAGACAAGCAATGAAAGAAGCAACAAACATTTTCATAAATTGTTAGACAAAGGTATTCATATTTCTAGATTATATAATTTACTTTCTGAGAAATGGAAGATAATAAACTTATTAATGATATTATTTAAAAAGGGTAGGTGGAGACAAAATAAATATCTTTAAAAGAAGCAGTAATTTTCCTATTTGTCAGAAATAACCATTTAGTAAACAGAAAAAATTCTGCACATAATGTTGTTGTTGTTATGTGCCGTCGAGTCGGACCCGACTCATAGCGACCTCTCCTTGGGTTTCTGAGACAGTATCACTATGGAAGTAGATTGCCCCATCTTCCTTCTGAGGAATGGCTGGTGGGTTTGAACTGCCAGCCTTCTGGTTAGCAGTCAAGTGCCTTAGGCACTATGTTACCAGAGCTCCCTAGAATAGCATAGTTAACAAAAAATATACAGAGCTTTATATAAAGAAAAATGTAGTATATTATCAAGTGACATCCATGAACATGAAAGAAATAGAAATGTATGGCTTTTGTTTTGAAGGATAATTATTATAAATATTTCAATTCTGTATTTTACCGAAATTATTGTACAAATTTATTTCCAGAGATAAATGGAGTTATTTTTCAACTTAACAAAATTTTTGTAAGACTTTGAAATCAGAAGCTGGTGGTTATATAAAATAGAAATTAGAGAGTATTTCTTCATCCAAAAATTAATATATAATGTAAAACTACACTAAAGCATTGTGGTACTGATTCTGGTACTGATTTGGAAGTCCAGAAGTAGATTCAAATGATACAAAATTTTGTTTATTAAAATTTGTCATTAAAAGATAAGTTATTTATAAAAAGTAAGTGAGCTATTGCAAAAAATAAATTTAGGTCTCTGCTTCAAACAAGAATAAGTTGCAGACTGATTTACGATCTAAAAGTAAGAATGAGCTATCATTATGTAGTAAGAATCACTGGATAAACAGTTTTGTCTTAGCTAGAGCAAGGCATTCTAAACATTATACCACAAAATAATATGTTAATGTATTGGCTGTATATAAATTTAAAACTTTTTCTGGTAACACAATCATAAGATACAAAGAAAAAATAGAGTTTTTTTGCAAAATGTTTTATATGAAGCTTTTTTTTTTTACAAACATATAAGGAATAGAAGTTGGCCTTCCCCAAATTAGACAATGGATAAAAATAGGCAAGGCAGAATTCAGAAAAACTCATGGCCAATACATGCATATAAATATATTCAACCTCTGTGGTTATCACATAATGCAATTTAAAATGAGTGAGATATATTTTTTATTTATAATTTTTATAAAAGTTTAAGAAATGGAAAAATATAATAGTTGTGGATATACACTGAAATGAGTTTTCTTTCACACATTTCTATTATCAGTAAAGATTTCTATCTTTCTATGAGAAAATACATAATGAAATCATGGAAAGTATATAGCCTTTTCACTCAACAACTGTACTTCTAAATATTTATCCTAAAAAAGAAAAAAGTATACATACTGTACAAGTATGTATCCTGTTATAATTTTTTAAAAGTTTTAATTGTGATTTGGGTGAAATTTTACAAAGCAGATTCATTCTACATTCAACACTTCATACACATTTTGTTTTATGACACTGATTACAATCCCCACAATGTAGCAGCTCTCTTCCCACTTCCTCCCTCTGGTCACCCTTTCTCTGTATCCCTTCTGCCTATACATTCCAGCCTCCATAGCTTTCTTCCTGTGCAAATGCTGCCCTTATGATAGCCCATGGTTGATAGTTCTAAGGAGTGTATCTCTCTGGTGTAGTTGTTCAGATCATAGGCCTGTCTATTTTTTGAAGGAAAGTTAGACGTGAGAGTCCAATACCAGGCCTAAAGGGTGAGTAAGGGCCATAGTCTCAGGGTTTTCACCAGTCTCTATCTAACTAGTAATCCATCTTTTTTTTTTTTAATGTTTTTTAAACGTTGTTCCACATTTTTCTCCCATTGGAGATCCCAGGATCTCCAATATTGATCCCTTTCTGAGTAGTTGGCAGTATCATCCTACAATATTTTTAATAACAAAAATTTTGAGATGACCTAAATGCCCACCAATAAGAAATTTGCAAGTTAAAGTATATTGTTAAATGTACTTCTGTTATTCTGATTTAGATGTATACTCATTATTATTATGGAATATAACATTAGCTAATGAAAAGAACAGATATTGTAAATATATGTATGGTACAATCAAATCTAGATAATAATTTAAAAATGCACATGCATGTATTAGCTATATTTTAACAAAACCAACCCACTGCTTTTAGGTCAATTCTGATTCATAGCTATACATTTATATTTGTGTACATGTATGCATCAAAATGTTAACTGATTTTTTTCTATGTGATGAAATATTCAAGTTTTCCTTTTCTTGATCTATACATTCTTTCGTACAAGAAACTTAGGTTATTTACATAATTAAATAAAGATTTTAAAAAGTACTAAAAAGTGACAATTATAAGACAGTTTGTGTTTCAGAATAAATAATTATTTCAATCTTTTCTTTCATTCTTTAATATTGTGGATATATTAGTTATTCTGGTTATAACTGATCACTTTTTTGATGTATATTTTATTAATTTTTATTGTGACTGTACAATATTTGGAACCTTTTAATAACTAATAGCTGGAGAACCTCCTGGGTATAGAAACATCCCTCAAAGTAAAAGAAGTTTTTAATTTTAATTGTGGAACTGTTTTACTATGGATTATACAACTGGGTTAATTTAGCTTCCTCCAATTCAGTGAAAATAAACGTTTGAGAAATCACGTGGACATGAATTCATGCAGATCCCTGAAGGCTATAGTGTTGGCAGGAAAGTGTCATAGAAAATAATACTTGATAACTGTTACTTTATTTTACTTTTTTAAAAAAACAGGAAGCTGAAAAAACTAAGCACCAACTTGACTATTTCCTAAATCAAAGGAAGGAGTTACTTAAAAGTGAGCAGAACAAGACAGCCATGCAAATGGATATTAATAAAATGAAAGTTAATGCTTTAGATTCAGAAAATGTACCACTGGAGAAAGAAGGAAGAAAAAAACTTTCAGACTCACGTGTACGAAAGTCAGATGATAAAATCCAAGAGCACTCACAGGTAAGGAAATAATCAAAATAGGGACAATAGTACCTGCTGTAAGAACTTTATCTTTCCTGTGATTATTGATTTCATTTATATATATTATTTTTAAAACTCTCTATGTCTTTATTTCTTTTTCTGTTTGGACTTTTGCCTTTTACTCTCTGGAAATATCTATTCATTTTTATCTTGAATACCAAGCTATAACTTAAATATGTGTTGATTTTGAGTGATCATTTAAGTATCTGAGATCTGAGGGTTAGAAGGAAATTGTTGTTGTTGTTGTTATGTGGCATGGAGTTGGCCCTGACTCATAGTGACCCCTCCTTGGGTTTCCGAGGCGGTATCACTATGGAAGTAGATTGCTCAAGCTTCCTTCCGAGGAATGGCTGGTGGGTATGAACCGCCAGCCTTCTGGTTAGCAGGTCAAGTGCCTTAGGCACTATGCTATCAGAATTTCCTAGAAGAAATAGGGGGTTGCAATTCTAAAGACATTTTTTTCTGTAAATTAAAAAAATTAAATATAAATGCAACACTAGAAAAAAGCCCTTAGAAAATTATTTTTGTCTCTGTTTTGTTTATATTCAGAAGCTCTTTCTCAAAGTTTGTTCAGATTTATAAATATACTTTGTTGTTGCTGTTATGTGCCATCGAGTTGGACCCTACTCATAGTGACCCCTCCTTGGGTTTCCTAGGCAGTAGCACTACGGAAGTAGATTGCCCAGCCTTCCTTGGAGGAGTGGCTGGTGGCCTTGAACTGCCAGCCTTCTGGTTAGCAGTCAAGTGCCTTAGGCACTATGCTACCAGAGCTCCCATTTATACCTTAGCAGAGAAAAACAATCCACAAGCAATTGGATTAATGAGAAATGAAAGGAGTTCAAGTAGAGCAAAGTTATCAAGAATGTCAGGAGATAGAATCACAAACCCTAATGCAATTATACTTGTTACTGCTCTAGCAGTATGGCTCTTGTTAGGGCCTTCATTTCTTTAGTAGTATTTTGTATTTCTTAGTGCCCTACTACTTGTTTTCAGACTGTGCATTTATTTGTATTGTTGTTGTTGTTATGTGCCGTGGAGTCGGCCCCAGCTCATAGCGACCCCTCCTTGGGTTTCCGAGGCAGTATCACTACAGAAGTAGGATTGCCCAACCTTCCTTCCAAGGAGTGGCTGGTGGGTTTGAACCACCAGCCTTCTGGTTAGCAGTCAAGTGCCTTAGGCACTATGCTACCAGAATTTTAGAGATAGGAAATCGAACTCAGGAAATTATAAAGTAGCTAGTATGCTAAAACTGAACTAAAAGGCCAATCCTCTACCTTTTTAAAGAGGCTATAAGACTATTAGGGAGCTCTGGTAGCATAGTGGCTAAGGCACTTGACTACTAACCAGAAGGCTGGCGGTTCAAATCCACCAGCCACTTGATGGCACATAACAACAACAACAACAACAGTAAGACTATCACACAGTCCTTTTATCCTTACTTTTATTTTCCCTCTTTGTTTATAATTTTATTGTAAACCACCTCAACTTCTTTTTAGAAAAATAAATAAGATTTCTTTGAAAGAAAGAAAAATTACTCAAGTTATTAGGTCAGTAAGTCAATGAAGCTATATGTGAATTGCAGTGAGTTGAATATGAAAGAAAATATTTCTACAAATGCAAGATCTGTGAGTTGGCTCAAGGAAAAGGAAAGGGAAGCAACTTAATTTAAAATGTGCTACTCATTGGGCAAGCTACTTCTGCAGTGATGCTGTCTCGGAAACCCAAGGAGGGGTTGCTATGAGTCGGGTCCGACTTGATGGCACATAACAACAACAACAAGTCATTTTATATCCATGAATATGTGGTAGTTATTTACACAACACTGTAAGATAACTAGGGAGCTCTGGTGGCATAGTGCTTAAGGCATTTGCTTACCAGAAGGCTGGCGGTTCAAACCCACCAGCCACTCTGTGAAAGGAAGAGTGTGCAATCTATTTCCATAAAGATTTACCACCTCGGAAACCCAAGGAGGGGTCACCATGAGTCGGGATCAACTGAAAGGCAGTGAGTTTGGGTTTTTTTTTTTTTTTTTTGGTTTCATTAAAAAATAACTATTAGCACCTTCATTTTAAAGACAAAGAAACTGAAGCTTTAAAAAGTTTAGTAAACTATGCAACATCCCACACTAATGTTGAGCTAGATTTTAAATCTAGGTCTTTCAGGGTCCAAAATCATGTCTGATATCTTCTTTGGTTATCTGTATGGCTGCATTCGGAACCTTCTCTTTGCTAAGAGTTTTAGTGTTTTTTTATTTTATTTTGTTATTGTTCTTGAGATCATATACAGCAAAAGCAATCAACACCAGTCAATAGTTTCTACATACACAATTCAGTGCTACTGAATTCTTTGAGTTGTGCAGTCATTCTTGTCTTCCTTTTTTGAGTTGTTCCTTCTCCATTAAGATAAACTCACTGCCCCCTACATTTACTATTTAATATTTTGAGTTACTATTGTCAATTTGATCCTATATAACTCAAGCCCAAGCCAGTTGCTATTGAGTTGATTCCAATTCACAGTGACCCTATAGGACAGAGCAGAACTGCCCCATTGGATTTCCAAAGCTATAATCCTTACAGATGCAGATTGCCACCTGTTTCTCTTGCAGAGGGGCTGGTGGGTTTGAACCACTGATGTTTGGATTAACACCGAGCATTTCACCATTGTGCCACCAGGGCTCTTTGGTTCATAAAAGAGCTGACTGCTCAACACAGACGTTTTTCACTAGATAAATTAGTTTTAAGAAAACCAATTTTCAGTAGGTAAATTTGGTTTTAAGAAAATTTTAGGGGACATTTTTGGTTTAAAGATTATTTTAGGGCAGTAGTTTCAGGCATCCATCCAGACCCCTTGGCTCCAGAAAGCCTGGAGTCCAAGAAAATTTGAAATTCTATTCTACATTTTCTCCCTTTTGATCAGGATTCTTCTATAGTATCTTTCATCAGAATATGCAGTAATAGTAGCCAGGCATTAGCCACACATTCCGTAATCCCCTCCCATTCCTGAATCTCCTTCTTCCTCTGTTGCTGCAGGAAAATAGACATCAATTGTTGTGCCTTGGACGGCTTCTTGCAAGTTTGGAAGGTACCAGGCACTGTGCAAGGAACTAAGAAGTCTATCAGAAGTAATAAATACTTTATTAGGCCAATTAACTGAAATGTCCCATGAAACCATGGCCCTAAACCTCCAAACCAAGGAAACAAATTCTGAGGTTCTTGTCGTACATAAGCAGCCTCAGCATCTACTCTTCTTCTTCTTCTTTTTTTTTTTTGGCATTGTTATAAACATATCTATCACACAACTTTTGCCAGTTTAACTTTTTATAGGTAATGCAAGTTACTGACAGCAATTGCAAGAATCAGCTGTGCAACCATACCCTTAATCAATACCGTTTTTCCATCACCATTAATACTTCTTTGCACTTCCTTCCCACCTCTTGTAGTCACTAATAAACTTTGGTCTCTATTTGCCTTTTGTCTTTCAAAATAAGTGAGGTAATGCAATATTTTTCTTTTTGTGACTTATTTCACTTAGCATAATGTCTTCAAGATCCATCCATATTGTAGCATTTATCAAGATTTCATTTTTTTCTACTGGCTGAGTAGTATTGCATTGTATGTATGTACCACATTTTGCTTATCATTCATCTGTTGATGGGCATTTAGGTTGTTTTCATCTTTTTACTATCATGAATAGTGCTGCAATGAATGTTAGTGTACAAGTCTCTGTTTGGGCATACAAAAAGAAGTAGAATTGCTGGGTTATATGGTGGCCCTTTTTTTTAGTTTTTCTTGAAGAACCACCCTCTGTTTTCTCTCATGGCTGTACCATTTTGCATTCCCACCAGCCAGAGATAAGCATCCAATTTCCCCACATCCTCACCAACATTTTTCATCTTTTGTTTATCTTAGCCATCCTAAACCCACTGTCATCAAGTCAATTGTGACTCATAGCAACTCTATGAGACAGAGTAGAACTGCCCCATAGGGTTTCTAAGGCTGCAAATCTTTACAGAAGTATACTGCTTCATCTTTCTCCCATAGAGCAGCTGGTAGGTTTGAACTGCAGACCTTTTGCTTAGCAGCCCAATGCTTTAACCGTACCACCACCAGAGCTGTTTTCACTATCCTAGTGGAAGTAGAATAGTATCTCATTGTGGTTTTGATTTCTATCTCTCTGATAGCTAATGATGTTGAGCATCTTGTCATTTGTTGGTGGCCATTTGAATGTCCTCTTTGGTAAAATGTCTGTTAAGTCCTCTGTCCATTTTGTGATTGGGTTATTTGTCTTTGTTTTTAAGGTTCAAAATTTTATGTATATATTTGTTATTAAATTCTTATTGAATATATGGTTTCTGAAGATTTGTTTACCAGTTGGTATCTTGTCTTCCATCTTGTACTAATTTTTAAAGGAATGATAATCTTACCTATTCCCCAATGACTATTTTTGCTAAGGTCACAAAAAATCTGCTTGATGTTAATTTGAGGGTGATTTTCAGTTTGATCTCACATCTTTTTAGCAGCATTTGACCATTTATTCTTTTTAACTTACTCTGTATTTTGATTTTTTTGTTTGTTTTCCTTACATAGTAAAACCTATGGAAGCCAGAACTCAACAAGATGGCCTTGTGTTTTCAAGTCTCACACATTTTCCACCTTTGGCAGGGTGAAATCTTTTCTATTGCTTTCTATTAGTAGGAATATTGGCTTAACCCCACCCCCACCCCTCCCATTATACACAGGTTCTGGCTTTCACTGTAGTTCTCTGGTACTCTGTTTTGTTCATCTTGCTCTGTCCATCTTTTAACCTTTGGTGTTTCTGTAGGTTTTATCCCAAATTATTATTCTTCTTCTTTTTTTTTTTAAATTTCATTTACTTTCTCTGGGCTTGCTCATAAACTTTCATGGCTTCAAGTGCAACATAAGTCTTTTATCTCCAACCCAGATGTCACCTAATTTCCATACCTCTTTATGTACTGAAATATACCCATCAATATACTGAATATATCTTCTTGAATGGGCAACAAAGAAACAGACAAAAAAGCCCCCCACAAAACCAGTTGCCTTTGAGTCTTTCTGGTCATAGCAAGCCCATGTGTTACAGAATAGAATTGCATTCTATGGAATGTTCAAGATTCTGACCTTTTGGAATCAGATTGTCAGACTGTTCTTCTGAGGTCAACTTTTCACTTAGTAGTCAAGTATTTAACTGTTTATACCACCCAGGAAACTTGAAAGGGCTATAAACATCTAGAATCTGTCATGTCCCCAATGAATTAATTGTCTTCTTCCTGGATCTGTTTCTTCTGTCAGTATTCACCGTCTCCTGGCATTCTCATTCACTTAACGGCTGAAGATAGAAACTTGAGAATCATTGTTGACTTTCTTGTCTCTTTTTCTCCATCCAGTTATCAGCCATCAAAGGATCTTAAATTGGCCCATTTTTCTGGAACTCACTGCTAGTTCTTAAGACAGTCTGCCACCAGGATTTCAATTGGTCTCCTTTTCTCTGTAATTAAGCATCTTCAGTCCGTTCTACACATTGTAATATAGTGGTCTTTCACAAATTGAAATATGTTCATTTTACCCTTTTGCCTATAATCTGCAATAGCTTCCACTGCTCTTAAGCTGAAGAAAAGTTTCCTAATTATGGTTTAAAGCTTTGTTATATCTGATTCTTTCCTGAGATACAGGCCAATTGCACATGCCTTTGGGTGCACACACACACACACACACACATTTTAAATTTCACCTACACTGAACTTCTTTTTTTTATTTTGATTTGGGGAAAACTTTAAAGAAAATTCATTTCCATACAGCAGTTCATACACATTTTGTTTCATGACATTGTTTGAAATCCCCATAATGTAACTACATTAAGTTGATGAAACACAATTTCTTTTCTGTTATCTTCTAGCTTTTGCATATTTTGTTCTCTGTTGGAATCACTGTGCAAAAAGTGTGTGGCAGTGACTTCTTCTGACCTCCTCTCATTCACCGTAAGACAGAATCAGCAGCAGCAGCCTGAGGCTTATTCCTATGAGGCACAAGTCAGACATGCTACGACCCTCCAGTCTTTTTACCAATTCTGACACCCATCATCCATCCCACAGTGTTCTCTACCTCTCTGCTGGGTTCAATAATTTGTTGCAATAGCCACACAGAACTCACACACACTACTCACAATTATGGGGTTTATTAGGCCAGTAACACGTTACAACTCAGGATCAGAAAACAACTCAGAATAAAGTTCTTCAACTGGAACAGCTTCTTCTCAGCCATGCTGCAGGCACGCTTCTCTCTGGCCTTGGCCTCTGTCCTGCTCAGCAAGTGTTACAAAGCTCTTTTAGCTTTGCCCGTATGTGCCCAAAGAGACACCCCACTCTGCCAGCAAACCTCCCGCCTGAAGGCGTTCAGCTTTCTTGTTCCATGGGGTGGGAAGCCCATCACTCTGTCTGTGCTTGTCCCTTTATTCTGCTGCCTCTGCTGCCGCTGTCTCTCTGTCATGTCTTTGCCATCTCTCAGCCATCTCGGTGCCAGATCTTGGGTCCAAGGTTGCACTCTGCTCCCTGCTCTTCTCTCTTAATGGCAGTGAGATCCCCCTTTCTGCCTCTGGGATGGCTCTTTTTAAGCCTAGTAGGATAGCCAAACTGATCAATCCCTATGCTAGTGTTCTATACATCCCCGTGCTTTGGTGTGGAGCTATAGTATTGCTAATTTCCAGAGAGATCTTTTTCATTTTATGTGGGGAACTTCCATTGCCCTGGGGTCTGGGCTGCACAGGGAAGTCCAATTTATCATCCTTGTTATTGGGGATAGAAGCTTACAATCTAAAAAGATTAAACTAAAAATATAAGAATTCCTATTGCTGGAGACTGGATTAAATTACAAAGTTCCGTCATGTATTTGTCATCTTAATGACATATTGGAAGAAATAGTTCCTATTTGTTTTTGTACCTGTTTTAAAAGTAATTTATAACTGACATTATTTCTATGTGCCAGAAACTATACATAATATATCTACACATAAATATTTATATTCATAAATATAAACCACTTAATTAATGGTTACTTTGTAAAAATGCAGTGTGAGTAAAATGAGATAACATTTATAAACTATGTTGTATATTGTTAAACACTATGTAAATGTGAGGTTGGATCCTTATTTGGCTTTTTCCTAGTTGTCAGCATGTTATTGTTGTTAAGTGTCATCAAGTTGATTCTGACTCGTAGCAACCCTATATGACATGGAACTGTCCCATAGGATTCCAAGGCTGTGATCTTTATGGAAACAGACTACCACATCTTTCTCCCACAGAGTAGATACTGGGTTCAAACCACCCACCTTTTAGTTGCAGCTGAGTGCTTAACCATTGCACCACCAGGGCTCAGCATAGGCTATATGAAAACCCTTTGTAGTATATTAGTTGATATGTAAGCTAATTATTGTGATATATAGATCCAAATGTATAATAGTTCAATCATAATAGAGATTTATTTTCTCATATAAATAATATAAGGAAATTCAAGGTCAGTGGTGGTAGTAGGGGTTCTGCTCCACAAGGTATTCAGGTATGGTGGTTTCTGGGTTATCCTTGGCATAAACATTCAGCTACCAGGAGAGAAAACAGAATGGAGAACCAAATGCGAGTTCTTTTCACTGACCAGGCCTGAAAGTGGTGTACATCATTTTATCTCACATTCTATTGACCATTTTAGCTGCAAGAGGGATTAAGCATATGGCCAAGAAGAAAATAAAATGAGTTTGGTGAACATCTAGAAGTCCTTGTCTTAGTTTGAACTGCCAACCTTCTGGTTAGCAATCAAATGGCTTAGGCACCATGCCATCAGAGCTCCTTTAGCACCCTCAAAAAAAAAAAAAAAAAAATATATATATATATATATATATATATTTAAATTGATTAATTATAAAAATAATAATTTTAACTATATTATATTAATTATGAACCCTTCAAAAAAGAATATTAAAAAGGATTAGATAAATATGTAATAGATAAGTTTAAAATAAATTTTATTTACTAACAGAATAAAACCCTCTTTGTTCTTATTTAGAGATAAAAATAATAGTTTTAGTTCTTTTCTGGGTTCCAAGGTACAGATGATGGTATCAGTTCCTCTTCTTTAATGTCTCTTCTGGTGCCAAAATATAATTTCTTAACTTTTTGATACTTTAATGTTACAAAATTCTCATATTTAAAAGTTGCTTTGAATGATATTCTAAAATTTATGTTTTATGTACATAGTTAACATATTTAAATTTAGTATTCTCTTTATCACAGATCTCTCCAAACCAACGTGGAAGTGTCATTGAAAAAAGGTAAAAAAAAGATATTTATTCTATCGTTTTCTGATATTTATCAGCTCACATACCTATGTGGTAAAAACAGCCGATCTAAATTCAATATCATATAAGTCTTTGATTTATTCCTCTGTTCACAATATTGCATTAATCTTTGAAACTTTTTTCAGATAGAAAACTGTTTGAAGCTTTAAATATTGTCAAAGATAGAAGAGTTTGAATCCAATCAAAATTAGAAGAATTTAAATGAACAATTAAAATTAAATATGTACAAACCTGCTTCTTTCTGACAGAAGCAATTACATTTCCAGATAGTAAGGAACTGATCCATATTTTGAGTTAACTTTGCTACTATCATCATTAAGAGGCAAGACTTAGATACATAAAAAAACCAAACTTATTGCCGTCGAGTTGGTTTCAAGTCATAGCAACCCCTTCTTGGGTTTCCAAGGTAGTATCTCTACAGAAGTTGATTGCCCAATCTTCTTCCTGAAGAGTTGCTGGTGGGTTTGAACCACCAGCCTTCTAGTTCGCAGTCAAATGCCTTAAGCACAATGACACCAGAGCTCCCTAGGTACATAAACAACTTATTTTATTTTTACTTTTTACCCTTCAATTTCTGTTAGCCACCTTATATATATGTACATACATGTACATAAATACTTGGGTTGTTTGATCCATTCAATTAATTAAATCTTTTAGTTTTCACTAGTGAGTGAATCTGTTTGCTTAATATATTGTGACTGATTCACAAACCTGTTCACAAACCACTCAGGAAACAGTAAACTATAGCCAGATACGTTAGCGGGGCAGCAAAACTAGTCAGTGAGAGGTTGCTGTCCAATGAAAGTAAACTCTGTCAATGATTCCTTTCAGTCATTGACTTGAATTACTTCTTATTCAAGTTTAATGTACATGAGATACTTATTTCTTAACCATATTGAGTTTAATGTGTAAAATTTTTGGTTTGATTGCCACACAGAGAAAGAGGAAAGAATTACATTTCTGTGCTTCATTCTCATATTTTAAAAATATTTCTACATTACAGACTCAGATGAATTAGCAGGAATTAGAAAATAAGTGTAATGATTAATGACCAGATATTTTAAAAAGGTCAATTTTAGTGTCCATAATGATTATTTATGTTTTTAAAAGTATGTGTTTTTAATACCTCAAGAGAAAACAAGATAGTAATTTATTCACTTGTTGCTTTGCAAATTTATGGGTAGATGTCTTATTATTTATTCCTTCATATTATAAATTATATGGTTAGAATTATAAATGTTTTAAAAGTATAAGGAAAAATATATTACTAAATATCTTTGACTCTATGGAAAATTAGCTATCTTATGAACTGTTTAGAAATAGAAACAAATACAACACGACATTCTTTTCTTTATGCTAAGATTATAGTCGAGCATGGCATACTACTGTAGTCTTTCTAGGGAAACATGGTGAAGTATAGATTATGAAAATGCTGAAGGAGAAAGCCAACAATTTGTTCATCACCTTGAAGAACATGAGATGGTAGCTTTCAAAGTTATAGTTATTTTACATAGAATATTATGTTTCTGCTGATGAATTTGAGAAGACTCTATAGACATTTGATGAGCCTCAAAAAGTAGAAACTTAAAAAACATTTCAAAGATTTAGTTTCTATGAAGGCTATGTAGTCCTCATAGTACTATCTATGAAGCAAGGTAATCTCAGTTACTTTCCATGAAGTAACTGAGAAAAATCAGAAGTAACTTGGAAAAATCATGAAGAGGGTGTATGATAGTATTATGGGAAATTACAGCCCCTCTTAGGCTGCCTTCTTGCCTGGGAAATCACAATTGGAAGTGATAATGGAAAGTGTAGATTGGGAGAAGGGTTGGATGGGGAACAGCAAACTGCAGGATGGTAGACAATATAGGACACTGGGAGCAGAAAAAATAATGGTATGAATATGAAATAATTCCTTTTAAATTATTCTTTCTAAGAATACTGATTGATACAATGTTTGTACTCCCTAACTTCAGGAGGAAGATTAAGTTAATTCAGTTTAGTCCATGAGGAAACATGAACTGAGTGTCTGTGCTGTGCAAGGCACTGTGCTAGATATTATGGGGATGGGTACAAAGATGACAAATACATGGTACTTGCCCTCAATGTGTTAACAGTCTAGTATAGCAGACATGTACAAAATAAATATAGTATAATGCAGAAGAAAGGAGCCTTAGTGGCACAGTGGTGAAACACTTGGCTGCTAGAAAAAGGTTTGAACCCACCAGCCGTTTTGTGAGGGAACGATGTGGCAAAGTGCTCCCATAAAGACTTATAGCCTTAGAAATCTTAGGGGCCAGTTCTACTTTGTCCTATAGGGTCACTATGAGTTGGAATTTACTTGACAGCCATAAATATAATGCAGAAGATGCATTCTGTAAAATGTCATCAAGAAGCTGCATCAAAAAAAAAAAAAAAAGAGGAAAAGTTATTCCTAGTTGCATTGGGAATTATACAGAATTTGATTTATGCAAGTCAGGTGGGCTGGATTTTAGCAGATGGATATTTAAAGGATGTTCTAGGTGGACAGAACAGTGGAAACAAAGGCAAAGGTGTCTAGGATCTGCATAGTGTGCACAGAAAAAGGCTGTTAATTCATTTTGTTTGGAATCTAGACTGAGGAGAAAAATGGGACACATGGCATGAAAAAGTTGTTTTAGCTTTGTAGGTTTATACAATTTCCCTTAATAGCTTTAGATTCGATAATGCTAACTATAATAAAAATTTCAAATTATTAAGCACAATGGCACAATATTATTCATCAAACTTCATTTTGGGTTACTTCTTAGATTCTAATAGAATTTCTGAAATACTTTGGAAAAGTCTCCCAAACCTTCAGAGAGTGGATGGTAGCGAAGGAGACCCCACCCGAACAGACATGTGGTATTGCTTACAATAAAGTAAACTTTTTTTGCACTTTACAACATGTAGCAATTTATTTTGGCTTAGGGAATGAAAGAGTTAGTGGTAAATACTTAAATAGATTTTTATTACTTTAGTGTTTCACATCACATACATGGTTAGATTTTTATAAATGTTTCACAGCATTACAATTCAAATTTTTAGAAATGAAAATGTAAACTATTTCTTGGTGATTTTAAGGAGTTGCATATCCAGCTTACTTTCATCTAAATCCTATTTTTTTTTTTTGTAGGATTTCCTTTCCCAGTAATACTTAGGTTTGTTATAAAGCACAAAAACATCTTTATAAGAGAGAAAGAGTATTCATACATGTCCATTTTTCCTCTGTGGATAGATGATAATCCATTAAATTAACTCATTCATTCACTCAATAAATGCATTCATTCAATGAGTATTTTTATCTTTGTATGTCAGATACTCTTTTAGGTATCAGGGTTTCATTGATAAATACAACAGATCATGTTCTTTCTCCTGTGAAACTTAAATTATAATGGGAGAGACAGACAATAAACAAGTAAAAATAAACAAGATAATTTTACATAACAAAAAATGAAAATAATAATACTCCCTATCTGATAAGGGGGAGCTCTGGTAGCATAGTGCCTAAGGTACTTGACTGCTAACCAGAAGGCTGGCGGTTCAAACCCACCAGCCACTCCTCGGAAGGAAGGTTGGGCAATCTACTTCCATAGTGATACTGCCTCAGAAACCCAAAGAGGGGTCACTATGAGTCGGGTCCAACTCAACGGCACATAACAACAACAACAACATCTGATAAGGAGTCACAGGAGATGGATAATTTAGATTATAAGGGAAGGCAAGGAAAGTATTACTGTCAAGAAGAGATTATCTGATTATGAAATAAGAAAAGGTTATAAAATAATCTGTCTCTATTTTTTACCAGAAGAAATTTATACAAATGAAAATTTACCTTATAAAATGCTTGGAAGAAGGTTTCTAATTTCCTCAGTTAACTGTTTTGCATGGGACGTATTACTAGTGACACAAAATGTAGGCATGAAGTAGATTTGATAGAGAAAACTTTACAATTTAAGAAACGCCATGGGGTACACTATGCCCTGAGCAATCTTGAATGTATAGAGAGGTGTGATGGACTGAACCCAGCTGGACTCATCATGGATAATACTCAAGAAAGGGACCCCTCCTCACATAAAACTTTATAAAATTACAGAGGAATAGGAGAGGGTAGAGAATACGTAGTCAGCCATATAAAAGTGAAAGCTTATAGGTCTGGGCAATGGCCTTGTTAGAAAAAGGAGCATCTGGAGGGCCTTTAGGTACCAACATAGCTGGTATCAGTGAGAGACTTTCTCTTTTTCCTTTGAATAATTCTGATGAACCAGTTGTGTCAAATCACCAAAAAGGGAAAGGGAGAGAGCTACCAGGAACTTCCAGAAACAACATTTTTTCTCTTTTGTCCACCCCTTATTTTTGGAGGCTCAATAATGTAAGTCTATACATTAGCTCTGGCTGACTCCTGATCTTGATCATAGCAGTTTCTACAATATTGCCTTGGAGAGGTATGTCAGCAGGTCCCCAACTGTTTTGGTTACCTAGAATTCTAGTGGCATAGTGCCTAAGGCATTTGACTGCTAACCAGAAGGCTGGAGGTTCAAACCCACCAGCCACTCCTAGGAAGGAAGGTTGGGCAATCTACTTCCGTAGTGATACTGCCTTGGCAACCCAAGGAGAGGTCGCTATGAGCCGGTCCGACTCGACGGCACATAACAACAACAACATGCTGAAAATTTCCTATAAAATTATTTTTAGAATGATTTTTAGATTGTACTCTATTGCACACTTTGAATCTTAGATCTTTTTCTGTTTTTCTTGTACATAGAAATGTATTCTACATCTTGTATTATTGCAGATATTAATGTCAAATCCATTGTCTTCTGTGTTTGCATTGATAATTAAAAATGCCCGTATACATTAATAATTTCAAAAGTTTGTTTGTTTGTTTTTTGAGGGGGTAGTGAAGTTCCTGGGAAAAAAGCGAAAGAGGTGCGGGACAATGACAACTAAAGGTTAGAAACAAGGCAGGTTGAGCAGTTATTTGATGGCAATTTTCTGTTTTGCCATCAATGACATACTGTAAGAAGCATTATGAGGTGTCCATGGTGATGTAATACTAAGATCATCAGAATTAATAAGTACTTTTGCAAGCAGGAGGAGATTTACTCTCTACCAATTCAGCAACACTGAAGACTATCATGTAGAATGCTGTCAACATGTTTGTATCAAAAACTTAAAATATATGCTCTTAATTATACTTTGATATTATACTATTTTAACATGGGGTGATAACTGGAAAGAATCTAAAGCGAACAAGGAATGACACAAATTTAGCATGGCTTACAAAGTATATTTTGCAGGTTATTTTTGATAACTTACCAATGAATAGGAGTGAGGAAAATATCACTTGTTTTATTATTATTTTTTTGTGATATAGGCTATCTTCCTCAGCTTTTTTGTTATTTTTTTAATTGTCCTAAGAAATCAGGATTTTGGAACGATGCCTGTCTTCACTTCTTAGAGACATCGTTTTGAGAACTTGAATGCAGTACTGCTTGCATACCTTTCTAGTGTTTTTCACCCCTACCTCCCCTGCACTGGTCCTGCATGGTTGTGGGAGACAGTAGACATGGGAAATGTTGGTGTGCTTAAAAATGAACTACTATTATTTAAGGAATTGCTCTTGGGATTGGCACACAAAATGTGGCAAAGCTCTGTTGTTTTAAGAGGATCATTTGCCTGGGTAGAATCAAGAGATTAATGATGTCCCCTAATAGCCATTTCAAAATCTGTACAAATATTTGCTTTCTACTGAAAGCTATGAGGTAATATTAGTGGCAGGAATGGTAGTTTGTATTCAACTCTAGGTATGCTTGTAAATAAGGATCAGTTTATATTATGTACTTGAACTTATTTTTGTGCTTCAGTGGCCCTAATATCCTTATGAGTAGGTGTTAAAAAATGGTCTCCAGAATGTTATTAGACTTTATTTCAGAACCAGATATCTTAAATTCAAACATCTAATAAAAATATTAAATTGTGTTTGAGGATGTGATGCTACCCTTGACAATTTAGGATAGCCACCTATTCTCTTTACTTTAATCTTGGAATCTGTTTCATAATGCCACCATAAAGGTTTGTTTGCCATAAGTTATATGTCTTTTTAATCACTAACCAAGTTACACTTTTATTCTCAAGATTGTCCTTCCAAACCTGACATTTTTTTTCTCTCTTTTTTAAAATCCAAATTCTTGTGTTTGAAATTCATCCTAATTTGAATGGCTAGAATGGCTAGCAATAGTTAACATTTTAAAACCTGGCTTCTGTGAGTCACTTTGCAGATAAAATACATCACCTGGAGTAATAGTTGTTTAAATTAGAGAACCATCATACCCGGTTGAATTTGATAGAGCTAGGAATGCTTTTAGTTGATTCTTATATGGAAGATAGCTAGTTTAACCATTTGTAATGTCATCTAAACTGGGATGCTGGACAGCAAACATAAACTGGAAGTGTGCAGACAAATCATGACATACGGCCAGTCTAGTTTTGGAACCCTGGAGGCTGCTCCTGTGCTGACTGGTGGAGAAGAGTACCTCTTATCCTGAAGAAGGAAGACATTGACCTTTTAATGTCAAAGTCTATGGAGAGATTTTTATTTTTTAAATTTTCGTCTGAAATGAAATTGTAGAAAAATAACTTTGGAATTAATGTAAATAAAAGACAACCTCCTTAGCATCCTGTGTTCTAATTTGGCTGAGCAAATCCTTCACATTCTGTCACCAATTATGACCTTGAATAACTATTATGTTAAGTTATTTTAATTAAGAGTTAATTCTATGTGTTGCCCATTTTAAATCCCAGAAAATATAGTACTATCTTCAAGTTATTTTCTAGAATCAGTTTGATATTTGTATTATCAGTAATTAATGAATAATTACAATAACATATTTAGTATTCTTATAGATTATGAAAATAATTCTTCAGGTGTAAATGAAAAATGTTTTATAATCTAATACCAGATGTTTTGTAATTCTAAAGCTCAGAGAAGAAAAGGTCTAGCCCTGCTATTTCAGATCTTTCACAGATCCCCAAGTCTCAACATGAATCAGCTTTTTTAGAACGTTCAAATGAAGTTTCACCCAGTGAAGAACTATCCCATGCATCTTCATTAGAGACCCATGATAAATCATTTGCAACAGTATTACCCAGCAAAGAAATTCAAGATTCACTCCCTGACTCACCTGAAGTAGTGACAACATCACATATTTCACATCCTGTTTTTACTAAAAGAAAATCAAAAGATAGCAATACTTCAAAGGTATGATATATTACAGTTACTTAATACTATTTTGTATTGTTGGACTTCTTCAGTATGTAGAATAGATGTCAATTAAAAACTCATTATTATATGCTTATTTCAAGAGAATTAAAACTTTGCTTTCTAATACAATAATTTTGTATTAAATATGATTAAATTAATATTTGGGATTCAAGTTCTATTTTACAGTATAAAAAAAGTCTGATCATTATTGAGCAAGAAGTTGTGGCCTATATTAGAATTTTAATGATAAACTAAAAGGTATGCAATCCCTAAATGAGACAAGGAAAATTTCATTGTTTTCATTTTATTTCAGGTTCATCTATAAAAAAGATATTTTTAGGAAATGAGATAATTATAATAATATAAGATAATTATTACCTTAAATCAATATTAATATTAGTAATAATATTAATGCTATTAATATACTTTTACATATCCTTAAATAAGACCTAGGAAAATTATGAGAATCCCTTTGTTAAGAAAATATTTGTTTAATTAGAAATTCTTAGAGCAAAAACATTGGGAATAGAGAAAAGATAAAAAGCCTATGCATACTTAATATTTATTCAAACTGTATTTTTATTATAGAAGTTATTAAAGGGGTCTTATAATAAGTAGAGTTCCCACTAAGGTAAAATGAAGTCAGAGGGCAACAGGCAACAAAAAGAGCAGCAAAACTGATTAAAATAAAACAAGTAAAATTCCAATTTTTTGAGAGCATATTAGTTATGGATAATCATACCATTGTAAAAATGCACCAGGCACCCAGTACCTCTTCACCTTCCTAGTGGTTATGATAATTAGGTTGTGGGATCACATAAGGGCCGTTAATAGTCACCATTAACCAGCATCTGTTTATCTAGTTATCATGATGTTGAGAATAACTGAGGTTTATGCTATTCCTTACATGTAGTTAATCTGAAAATAGTTCATGAGTGTTTATTGTATCTTTACGATTGTTTTACTATATAAAAAGTAGAAAAAGAGCAATTTATCTCATTTTAAGTTATATAATTTGCAATTATTTATTACAACTTTTCATTAAGACTGGTGTTTCAGAAGAGAAGTTACAAAGTGAGACTGAAAACCAGACTTCCCAAGAAGCAAGAGAATTTCAAGGTAAAAAGTTTTTTATTTTGCAAGATGAAAGGAGAAATGATTATTTTGTTCATTCCCATAGTATAATTATAAATAAATGAGGGGAGAGAATTATTAAATGTATATATGACTTGTTAGGCAGTCAGGTAGTATAGAAATATATTGACAATTATGTAAAAATTAACTTGGTTTTTGGTGAGTTAATATTCTATCACTTGGAGAATCTTTTTCAAGTAAGAACTTTGTAAAAAAAAAGAAGTAATAGCTTTGCCTCAGTCATATAACAGAATCTGACGTTATGAGGTTTTTATTTAATGTTATACCAAAATTCATCTGGGTATAGTTATAAAAAAATGATTTTTGATAGGAATAATTAGTTAGAATTTTAATCAGATTATTTAGGTGTTTGATTTAAAATATTTTAAAACAATGGTAAATTCAATATGTTGAATATATGTTAGTAATAATTGTTTTTTTTTGTTGGCTGGAGTGCTCTGTATATGTCTATAAGGTAAAGCTGATTGTGTTGTTGGGATCTTCTGTATCTTTGTTGAGTTTTTTTCTAGTTCTGTCCTTCATCAAAAATGATGTGTTAAAGTCTCTAGGAGACTGCTCTTGTAGTACTGTCTATTTTTCCTTTCAGTTCAGTTAAGGTTTGCTTTATGTATTTTGCAGCTTTTTCATTGGGTCTTGTTTTGGTTACCCCTGTGCTGCTCTAAAAGAAAGTAACACAAATGGGATGGCTTTAACAAATAGGAGTTTATTCTCTTACTAGTATGGAGGTTAGAAATCCGAGTTCAAAGTGCCAGCCTCTAGGGGCTGGGTGAAAGCCTCTCAACCTTGGGCTTCAGCTCTGCCTCTTGCTCCCGGTGCACTGAAGCTAGGGACATCTCTTCACTCAGACAGCTGCTGGCTACTGAGACTGATAAACCCAAGGTCAACAAGTACAAAGGCATTGTCCCAATATTACCAAACCACACGGCAGGCCATTGATTCAAGTCCATTAACAGTCTCAAGATCGGCAGAACATGGCAGGCTGCTGAATGAAGACTTGGCTACATGCAGGGTTCAAGCGTCCCAAAAAAACTGGAGACCCATTTCCAAATCTCCTCCTTATATACTGGAAGCAGACCACATCCCTAAAGCAGCTACTCAGTTGCTCGTGTCAGATTCCAGCATGGAGTTAATTGCCAGTCTCATCATAGGGAATAACTACCACCAGCTGCCCAGCCAAGTTGACATATAACTTTAACTACTGTAGGTCCATAGATATTTATTATTGTTATGTCCTCTTGGTCTATTGATCCTTTTATCATCATATAATGCCCTTCCTTATCCCTTATGCTG